AGGGAGAGGGAGAGAGAAAAGAGACACCCAGAGAGACAAGGCACAGAGACGATCAAGAAAGCAAAGGACAGAGACCAGAGAAAGCAGAACAGAGCGACCGGAGATGGAGGTGCCGAGAGAACGTGCTGCTTAAGGTGTCTCTCGGGTGGCTTAAGGTGACTGCTGGTGGTGTGGGCGTTATGTTTTTAAAGAGTCGTTGTGTTGCCCTGGCTGGTGTGGCTCAGTGGACTGAGCAATGGCCTGCAAACCAAGGGGTTGCTGGTTCGATTCCCAGTCAGGGCACATGCCTGGGTTGCAGGCCAGTTCCCAGCAGGGGATGCACAAGAGGCAACCACACATGGATATTTCTCTCCCTCTCTCCTTCCCTTCCCCTCTAAAGATAAATAAATAAAATCTTTTTAAAAAATAGAGAGAGGGGAAGGAAGGGAGAAAGAGAGGGAGGGAAACATCCACGCGAGAGGAACATGAGAGGAACATCGACTGGTTGCCTTTTCACAGGTTCCGCAACCAGGACCGAACCTGCAACCCGGGCAGGTGCCCTGACTAGAAATCCATCTGGCAGCCTGTCCCTGTGCAGAATGATGCCCAACCAACTGAACCACACCGGCCAGAACAAAAGTCTTATTAATACCAAAAAAAAAATGTTGACTCCAACCCCACCCTGCTGTTCTCACCCCCCACCACTATCCCCTCCCCCACAAGAGCTGGCGTCTTTCATCTCGGTCTCCTGTCCTCGCTCTGGCAGGGGTGACGTCCTCATGTCCCCAGGCTTTGCCCCTGTTGGATCCTCTGTGAGCAAACTCCCCTCCTTGCTTCACCTGGTATCTTCTAAGTCAACTCTCAGGGCTCAGCTTTAACGTCAAGTCCTTCCCGGTGGAGCCTCACCCCCACGCAGGTCGGGGTACCTGATTCCTGCCCCACCATCCATGTTCGCTTCCTTAATGTCTGCCTCCCTACAAGCTGGGAGGGGCACAGAGCAGGGACCCCAGCCCTCTGTGCCCAGAGTGGTGCCTGGCACGTGGTAGGTTGCTGGTGAATGAATGAATGACTAAATGTCTGAATAAAGAATGAAAAGCCAGCCTGGCTGGTGTAGCTCAGTGGATTGAGTACGGGCTGTGAACCAAAGGGTTGCTCGTTCGATTCCCAGTCAGGGCACATGCCTGGGTTGCAGGCCAGGTCTCCAGTAGGGGGCGCATGAGAGGCAACCACACATGGATGTTTCTCCCTCTGTTTCTCCCTCCCCCTCTCTCTAAAAATAAAGAAAATATTTTTTAAAAAGAATGAAGAGCCAGCAGAAATAGCCAGGATAGCTTGGGGGAAATAAAATGAGTGACGTGGAGCCCTGGCCAGGTAGCTCGGTTGGTTAGAGCATCACCCTGAGAGGCCAAGGCTACAGGTTCGATCCCTGGTCAGGGCACACACAAGACTCAACCAATGAATGCATCAGTAAGTGGGACAAATTGGTGTTTCTTTCTCTGTCTCACTCCTCCCCTCTCTTCTTCTTTCTCTCTCTCAAATTAATATATAAAATGTTTTAAAAAGTAAGTGACAAACAGGTTGAACGGTGCACGAAACTAAAAGTGGATTATACAGCAATGAAGGAAAAACATGTTCAATTCAATTAAATGGTGTTGGGGAAAAACCAAATACTGGTCCAGGGGAAAAAACTGAAATTAAATCCCTCTCTCACAATTCACACCAAGAAAAATTCCAGGCGGATTAAAGATTTAACCTTTAAAAATTTAACCATAAGCGCTATAACAGAAAACACAAGATGACTGTTTTATGTCTTGCATTGGCGATGGTATTCTAAATATGACAAATCACAGAAGCCCGCTCTCCCCCCCCAAAAAAAACAACAACCCAGAGATTGATAACATTTGATTGCATAATAATAAAACAAACTGGGAGTTTCAACTCATACCACAAACACTTTCTCTAATATTCGAAGTACTCCTGCAAATAATAAATTTTCAAATTTATTTAAAACCCACCCCACTAGGAAAAATCAACCTGGAACATGGACAGTTCATGAACAGGAAACAATAAGAGCTCCTATGCTTGTGAAACTTCATAATCAGGGGCAAAGGCAGATTCAAATTACTTTGAGACACCTTCAAAATCACTTAGGAGCCCTGGCTGGTGTGGCTCGGTGGATTGAGCGCCAGCCTGCGAACCAAAGGGTCGCCAGTTCGATTCCCAGTCGGGGCACATGCCTGGGTTGCTGGCCGGGTCCCCAGTAGGGGGCGAGCGAGAGGCAACCACACATTGATGTTTCTCTCCCTCTCTTTCTCCCCGCTTCCCCTCTAAAGATAAATAATTAATTTATAAAAAACAAAACGGAAAAACAGTTGTCTCCAAAAACTGCCTTCCTGTGGTCGCAACCCTGACTGTCCCTCCTTCGTTTCTAACCGCTGCCAAAGGCGTGTCTCCGCTGCACCCAACTGAGTGGTTCTAGTCAGATGTCTGCAGTAAGGGGGGGGTAACCCTCAAAATTCTTTCGTTGTTTTAAAAAATCTTCACCTGAGGGCATGTCCACCAATGTGTCAGAGAGAGGGAAAGGGAGGGAGAGAAACACGGACGTGAGAGAGAAGCTTTGACTGGTCACCTCTTGCGGGCGCCCTGGTCAGGGACGGAACCTGCAACCTACGCCCGTGTGCTGACTGGGAATCGAACCCATGACCCTTCAGTTTACGGACAATGCTCCAACCTGCTGAGCCACACCGGCCAAGGCAGCCCTCAACATTCTTAACAGAAAAACACGCCTCATGTCCCAGAACCAAACCCAAAGGAACAAAAATCACCCAACTGCAAACGGGCTACTAGAGCTACACTACGTTCATTCAAACCCTCTTACAACTGAAGCTCCTTGGGGAGGCTTGGTTTCCGCCACGGACTTAAGTCACAAACCAAACGTCACCTGGATCTCTCTCCTCACAGGCCCTCTGGGCTCCATCCTCAGCCCTCCTTTCCTGTCTCTCACCCAGCCGGCTAATCCCTCCTGTCCCCAGATCTCTGCCCTGTCCCCTCCCGTCCACCCCCCAGCTCAGGCCTCCGCATCTACCCATTTTCCCTGTCTGGACCTTCACCCAGCCCAGCCTGCGGGCCTCTGGTCTCCCTGCTCCAGCTCATCCCCACGTGTGGGACCAGGGCTGCACCCTGCTCAGAGCCTCCATGGCTCCCGACGCCTTTTTTTTTTTTTTAAGGTTTTATTTATTTATTTTTAGAGAGAGAGAGAGAAAGAGAAACATCAATGTGTGGTTGCCTCTCATGCGCCCCCTACTGGGGACCTGGCCTGCAGCCCAGGCACATGCCCTGACTGGGAATCAAACGGGTGACCATTTGGTTCGCTGACGGGCACCCAATCCACTGAGCCACACCAGCCAGGGCTCCCAGCGTGTTTGACAAGGTCCCAGCCCCTCAGCTCCTCTGTGGCCCTGATGATACCCTCAGCCTCATGTACCACACTCCAGTCCCACGATCCCCCAAAATGTGGTGGGCTCTTCTTTGTGCTGTCTTGGCACTGGCTGTCCCCTCTGCCTCCGATGCCCTACGTCCCCCTCTCTGCCCAGACAGACCCCACTTTCTTTCAAGGTACTGGTAGAACTGAGTTCCTCCCCTGGCCCCCCACCATACCTCGGCTGCCACCATCAGATCACACTGGCTTGTAACTAAAATACGCGGTTTTCAAGCAAAGGAACTGGATCTTCTCGTGTGGAGGACCCCAGGGACCCCGGGAATGTGAGAAGCCTCTGATGCGTACACAGAAAGAGGAAACACACAGAAAGCAGACCCAGGGTGGGGGACCCGGCCACAGGCAGAGCGAGAGGAAAGAGGTGAGGAGAGAGACGGGTAGAGACAGTCGGCTGCCACGCCACCTGCAGTGAGTAGTGGAGAGCGGAGCAGGCTGGGTGCAGCGAGAGGTTCTGGAAGGGCTGGATTCGGGGCTGGCTCCAGCCCTTGTTCTCCGTCCATTCCACCAGCAGCATGTGGTCTGTGAACGTCTTCCCAAACACCAGGGTCTCGCCAGGGTTGGGCTTCTTATGAGGCTTCTGTGTTATTTCCAGCTGCAAGTCTGCCGCCTGAGAAAGAAAAGGGGACCTGGGTATCTGGAATCTGGCCACAGCTTCTAAACTGAAAAACTACAACTCCCAGGAGTCCCTGGGGCCAAGACCCAGTGGGAAGAGGCTCCAGTGGCTTCTGGGACCCTGCAGTTTCAACTCTTTCCCACAGCCCTAAGGCAGGCAATTAGACTACCTCATTGCCACCCACCTTGGCCTTGGAACCTTGGATCGTTTAGAGATTCCCAAAGCCCATTCCCAGCCCCGTTCTTCCTCAGATCCAGCAGTTCAGGCCCCCAGCTCCTCTTCCTTGGAATCCAAAAGTACAGTCCCCTCCTCTTACCTTGAAGCTGGATGAGGCATATCTTCTGGGCCCACACAGAAGCCAAGAGACAGGGAAAAGTTTTCGGGCCCAAATCTGAGGATGGGGACATAAGAAAGGTGGTGAAGCCAGGAGACAGAGAGAGAGAGAGCCAACACCTTCGACACCTCCTTCACTTGGGAGGTCCCTCTGGCCCAGGGCACTCTAAACATGGTGTACAGTCTGGCCAAGGCTTGTTTCTATAAACCCTCACCCAGGGATATGTCTCATTGATGTTAAAGACAGAGGAAAGGAGGGAAACACTGATGTAGGACAGAAACACCCATCAGCTGCTTCCTGCTTGCGCCGCAACCAGGGATGGAACCCAAAACTCAGGCAACTGCCCTGACCGGAAATCCAACCTGCAACTCTTAGGTATACGAGATGGGGCTCCAACCAACTGAGCCACTGGCCAGGGCTGGCCAAGTCTTTTGCTCCGTCCTTATTAGCAGGCAGCAGGAAGGGATCGTTCAGGAGGCCGAGTCCCTCCCTGGCCCTGTGCAGGCCAGCCCTAAAAAGTGCGGACTCCGCTCCCATTCCCTCCTCCGTGTGGGGCAAAGTCAAACACAGACCCACCCCACAGACCTTTGGCCCCAGCTCTGAGACTGATTCAGATAGAAGACGACCAGGGAAGGGACGCAGGTAAGTGAAGGCTTCGCTGGGGGACCCAAATTCTGATAAGAGCTAGAAAAGTGGGGGACCCACAGGTCATGCTCCCTCAGGACCCAAGATCTAGGTCCCTAGGCCCCGCCTCCCTCAGACCCAGAAATTCAGAATCCCAGCCCCCTACCACTTCCTCAGATCCAAAAGTCCAGGCCCCCAGCCCCTCCTCCCTCAGACCCCGGAGTCCAGGCCCCCAGCCCCTCCTCCCTCAGACCCCGGAGTCCAGGCCCCCAGCCCCTCCTCTCTCAGACCCAGGAATCCAAGTCTATATTCTTCCAGGGTATCAGACCCACTGAATTCGGATGACTTGAAGCCCCTGCCCACTTTGAACTCCAGTGATCCCAGGTCCCTTCAGATCGCAGGCCACGCGGACCTGGAAGCCACCCACCCCAGTCATCAGCGGACACTGTCCAGATGAACACTTCTCCTGTGCCCCTGCCTGAGGCCAGCAAGGGCGAGCAGGTCCAACTGTGTCCAGCAGGGTGTCCTCCACCCAGTGTTCTTGGACCTCACAGGCCTCTTTCCCCAGCCCTGGGGAAAGACGGCTGGGTCCCCAGGCTGGGGAGACAACAGCCTAGCCTGCTTCTGCCCGTGAGCTGCGTGAGCTGCCACCAACCAGTGAAAATGGATGTGAGCGGCAGTGGTGACTGGTCAGTAGGTGAGTCATGGGGGAAGGGAGGCTGCAACGTCCTAAAGTCTGGGCCACCAAGTTGCAGGAGTAGCCATGGATAGCGTCCGGCCAAGGGCTTCTGGCATGATTAGAATGTTGCTCTGGTACATGACCGCTAGGTGGCGATGTGTAGCCTGCATAAGCCTAAGGCCACGCTGGTCAGAGAGGAGACAGAATCCCCACAACTGGGCAGAGACAGCCGGCGCCTTGTCAAGAGAGCAGCCTGCAGAGGGAACCAGAATGGACAAAAATAAAAGAGAGTAAAGTAGGGAAGAGCAAGAGTGAAAAAGAGAGACGTAGAAATAGAAAACATAAACTGGAAAGAAGAGAAGACGAGACCTGGAGATGCCAAAATAGAAACGATCATAAGGAGAGAGGCTAAAACAACAGCTGCGAGGGAGAGAAACTCAGGGGAAGTAAGGCCGGGAGAAATCAAGGTAAGATACAGAGGGTGGAATAACGAGAAGCCGCGAGGGAGAGGACGAGGGAAAAGACAATAGATGAAGACTGGATGTCAGCCACAGCACAGACAACCTGGAGAGAAACCGTCTCAGCAATGCTCTCTCAGAGACAGGCAACCGGGAGAGACAGGAAAAGGCAGGAAAACACCCGCAGTGTGGAGGAGGGGCTGGTCAGTGTTCAGACGAGAAATCTGCACCGGCCACAGAGTTCCTGTCACCGGCCACTGGGAGTTCCTGCCACGCCTTCCTCCTCCCAGGACATTTCTCTAGGGGCAGGGGTCTCACCTCAGCTGACACCCCACCATCTGAGCCATAGGGATTGGGTGCCAAGGAGACTCTCAGGTGGGCGTTGGAACAAAGATGCAAAAGTAATGGGGATGAATTAAGAAAGAAGGAAGGTGGAGGTGGGTGGGGGCGTATGCCCAGGGCAGAGTCTCTACTGTCTCGTCACAGCCCAGAACTGTTCCCACCACAATCCAGGCCTGTCTCCCAACGTGGCCCGGGAGTGTCCCCATCAAAGTCTGGGGTGGTTTCTGTCACCGTCTAGTGAGCACTGTCTTTCACACTTCAGGGTTGCCCCCGACACCACAGCCCAGAGAAAGTCCCCGTCACCGGGCAGTGCTATCCTTGTCCCTATCGCAACCCCATATGGTCCCAGTAAAACCCTGAAACTGTCCTTGTTGCAGCCCAGGACTGGTCCCTGCACATGTAGAACTGTCCCATTCTAACCCAGGGCTCCCCCCATCACAGGCCAGAACATTCCTGTGACAGCCCGGCACTCTCCACAGCCCAACCCCAGACTGTCCCTGTCACTGCCCAGGACTGCCCCACCACAATCCCCAGGGGTGCCCCAGTCAGCCCAGGCCTGTCTCCATTAGCCTCTGAAAGGCCAAGAAAGTAAAAATCCGCCCTGCTCTCCATGGAGCCGGATTGAGAGACCCAGCCACGGTTAGGTTCAAAGTGAGCAGCAGAACCCCGCTTTCCGGGTTCCGCTGTAGCTGTCAAGGGTTGTGATTGACAACCCTTACTGTTTTCCTCTCCACTGAGAAACCTTGTTTTCTGAAATCACAGACTTCCTGCACTCTGCTGGTTGATGTCGTATCAGCAAAAATGGACTGTTTCAGTCTTGCCTGGCGCGTCTGTGTCTCTCTGACAATGAGAACCTGCCTGGATCTCCAACCCAGGTGCGGAGATTTATTAGATAAGGGGTTTCGGGCACACAGCTATCTTAACCTTTACTTCCAATTAAAAAAAAAGGGGGGGGGGCGCCTGGAATCCAATTCCCAGTCCAGGCCTGAGGATGCCCTCTGCGCCTGCGGCCCACCTGCTCCCCTGTAGGTGCTGGGGACCTAGCCCGATGCTCCCACAGGCTGGCGACTCCCTTCTTAGACCCCCACCCAGTCCCGTGACCCTGCCATAACTGTCCCCTCCTCCATGTTTCCCTTCTCAGACCTCCCGTCCCGGTCTCCTTCCCGCCAGTTACCTCCCCGCACCCGCCACCGCCCACCAAAGCTCTGTACTCCTAGTCAACGGGGCGCCCCCTGCTCCTCCCCGCCTCCTGGCAGCGGAACCCCAGTGCCGAGGAACGGCGCCAGGCCGGACGGGCTGAGCCAAGTGGTCCTCCCGGAAGTGCGCCTCCCCGCGGGGGCTCTCCAGCCCCACGGCACGGGGCCGCCGCGGACCCACCTGCCCCAGTGCGGCTCCCGCCATCGTGGATGCGGCGGGGAACTGTGCCCGCCCCAGATTAAGATGTCTGGCCCCGCCCGGTCCACGCCCCCTCGCACTGAGCGCCCCAGGATTCCATTATTACAGGGTGCCTTCGTGGAGACAAGTCTGCTCCAGAGCGCATGCGCTATAACGGGCCCCCGGAATGAGAGTCGATGGAAAGACTCCCTCCTCCCAGCCCCCTCCGGGGTCTGTTCCAGTCCCGCGGCTGCCGTTCAAGAGCGTGCGTGCAGCGTTTCCAAAGATGCATTTTAATAGGTTCTGCCACCCGTCACTATCAGAACCAATAAGAAGAGACAAGGATTGAATCTTCATGGGTACTTTATTCAGATGCTGGCGATTTGAGAAGACGGCGGGTTGTGTAGCCTAAAATCTGTCTTAACATCCCATCTCAAACCAGCCTCTTTTTTTTTTTTTTTTTTTAATCAGGAGAAGGAAGGGTAGGTGAGGGGTTTGGGGGGAAAGTTTAATTGGAGAAGGGGGCAAGGGGGCGGAGGGGCGATCTTCCTAGTACTCCTCTGTCTGTTGATCAACAGTTCTGGGTCCTGAACACGGCCTCCCTGGAACACAGTGGCTTGCAGGCCCCCTGGGGCATAAAGTTTGAATTGCTTGTCAAGCTCCTGGAGTCAGTAGGTCACGTTTTGCAATTTCTGGAATAACAGCTTTCATCAAGCGTTAGTCACTGGAGCCTGCCAACTAAGGCTCCAGTCTTTAACTCTTGAGTTCCCTGATCAACAAGAGAAGAAAGGCCAGGACCTTTGCAGCTCTGGATTCCTTCCTTGGTGAAAGGGAAAAGCACGCTCTACGTGTCGGTGGATGCGTATCACGTAAGTGAAAAGGGCAAGGACTTTAGGAAAAGGCCTCTGACGAGGGTGGCCGGCAGGGAGAAAGGGAATGCAGGCAAAACCCCTGTTTGAATAGTGCTTCTGTCATTTTTTTAAGCCATAAAAACACACACGGTTTGCCTCCTTCCAGTCCTTTTTATCAGTGGGTCCTGAAAATGGTCAACTCCCCAACTTATCAACGAGCCCCTACGAATAGCTTCTAGAGCAAGGACTTCCTGCTTGCTCCCCTTCTTCAGGGTTTCCCCAACTGCGGGACCCCCAGGGGCAGAGTCCGCCAATTGCTCCACAGTCACTGTGCCGCCCAAACCTGCCGTGGTCCGCGTTCCCCCAACTCCTGCAGCCGGGTTATTGTGACCCCAAACAATCGCTCCTGCTGTGTCTTCAAACTCAAGCGCAAAGCTACTCTCCCTCCATAGTTCTACTCCGGAAAATTCTGCCCCCAAATTCTGTTCCCCAGCCCGAACAGCCACAGGCAACCGCAGTTGCCAAATTCCAAACATTCCCCTAGCAGGGTCTCCCAGCTTTCATTCCTTCTTGCCTCACCACCCCGCCAGGGGCTGGGGGGGGGGGGGGCGGGGGTCCCGCAAGACTGCTCGGGCCCTGGCTGGTGTGAGTCCCCGCCTGTGAACCGAGGGTCGCGGGTTGATCCCCAATCAGGGCGCATGCCAGGTTCCAGGTTGGGGCGTGCGAGAAGCAACGGATTGATGTATCTCTCACACCTCGATGTTTCTCTGCCTGTTACTCCCTCCCTTCCACTGTCTCTAAAAATTAAAAAAACAAAAACAAAAACTGCTTGGTTACGCCCCTGCCAGTCAGCGATTGTCTCACACCCCCGTGGCTGCCAATCCACAGCAGCCATGCAGTCCCACCTCCTCACCTGGAGGGGACATTCCCCCGACTGGGCACAGCCCCAGGGGGGTGGGGCAAGACCAGAGTCAGCCCTCCAAAGCAGGGGAGACCGAGGCCCCCCAGCTTCCTACCCGCCCCTTTTCCTCCTACCCCAAACCCAGAGGTCCGGACTGCCAGCTCTTCCTTTCTCTCAGGAGTCTCCATCCCCAGCCTCCCTTGGCCTCCGAACTTTTAGTGCCGGCCACCCTCCTACTCCCCTAAGGGCGGAGAAAATACTGGAGGCCCTTGGGCTTCATCTCCCGCGTTATCTCCTAATTAGAGCTTAATTGACTCTCCCCTGCGAACCCTTTAACTGGGTCACTGGTGAAGCCAACCTGCACAACTCTTCCCTGGAGCCCCCAGCAAGAAGCTCCTGCTGCAAGGTTTGCTGGGAGTTGCAGTGCCTCGGGAGGAGGCCAAGCGTAGGGCTAGAGTGGGGGGCACGGGGTGGCAGTACGGATCGAAAATAAATGTAATGATGACCTCCTCCTTTTGGCTGCACATTGCTTTTTTTTTTTTTTAAAGATTCTCTTTATTTTATTTTTTAGAGAGGGGAAGGAAGAAAGAGATAGAAACATCAAAGTGTGGTTGCCTTTCAGGTGCCCCCTACTGGGGACCTGGGTGGCAACCCAGGCATGTGTGCTGACTGGGAATCAAACCACCAACCCTTTGATTCATAGGCCAGTGCTCAACCACTGAGCCACACCAGCCAGGGTTGCAAATAGCTTTTATGGGAATCTGTGCGGTGGTTTGGCATACCGGTAAATGAGCTGAGTGTCTAGGGTTTGGGGCTGCCCCTGAGAGGCAGAGGGAAGAAGCTGGAATTTGGGAGGCTGAGTCTGGGGTGGGAGAGCCCTAGTCGGAGAAGCCCGACTTGGAAGGTGGGTAATCAGGGACGGTGTCAGGGGCCTCCAGAGGGGCACCATGCTCGACTTTGTACCCATAGCCCAGCTCCGCACCCCCAGTCATGAATAGTTCAAAACCGGTGCAGAAGGTGGCTTCGGAGGCCAGAAACACAGCGGCAGCGGCCACCTCGGCTGGATTGCCCATGCGGCCCAGAGGCTGGAAAGAGACCAGGTGAAAAGGAGGTCACGGGGGAGCCCTCACATGCCGGCCCATACCACCTGGCCCTGGCCCCCACCCCTATGCCCCATCTCTACCTGGGATAGTATGCCCTTCTGGACAGAGGCCTTGGGGTCCGGCTGTGTGGCTGCCAGCTCCTGCCACATTGGGGTCCAGATGTTTCCTGGGGAGATACTGGGGGAAGGGAGGAGAGAATGGGGCGGGTCTGCCAAACACACACTTCTCCTTTTGGGGCTCACCCCCAGTCTTTCCACTTCCCCCAGGGGCCTCGCCGCCCGCTCCCGCTCAGAGCTGCTCACCAGTTAACTCGAACACCGTATTTACTCTCATCCAGGGCCAAGGCCTTGGTCATGGCCGTCAGCGCCCCCTACAGGAGACAGGGGCGGGGCGAAAGCTCATTCCCAGAAAGATGGGACTCCCCCTGCGTCCTCACCTCCCGGCCTCCAGGGTCAGGCAGGGGCATCACAACGGGAAAGGCACATCCTCCCTGAAGGCTACCTTGGGATGCACCGGGCTGGCTTGCTCTCTTTACATTTTTATTAATTTATTTTTAGAGAAAGGGGAAGGGAGAAAAGGTGAGAAACATCAACGTGTGAGAGAAACATCTATCAGTTGCCTCTCACATGCCCCCAACCCAGGAGCTGGCCCACAACCCAGGTATGTGCCTTGACTGGGAATCAAACCGGCCACCTTTTGGTTTCCCGGACAATGTCCAAGCCTCTGGGCCACACCAGCCAGGGCTGGGCCTTACTTCTCGGGAGACACTTGGTGCCTAACAACACGTCACAGGTTTTTTTTTTGTTTGTTTGTTTGTTTGTTTTTTAAATAATATTTATTTATCTTTAGAAGGGAAGGAGAGAGGGAGAGAAATATCAATGTATGGTTGCCTTTCTGGTGTACCCTCTGCTGGGAACTGGTCCCTGCTGGGAACTGGCCTGCAACCCAGGCATGTGCCCTGACTAGGAATTGAACTGGCAACCCTTTGCTTCACAGGCCCGTGCTCAATCCACTGAGCTACACCAGCCAGGGCACGTCACAGGTTTTTATGCCTCAGGTCGGAGGCCCCTAGGGGGCCAGGAGGGCCGGAAGGAAGAAGCGGGGCGGGGGGGGGGGGGGGTGCCCTGGGGGGGGTGCCCTGATGACCTACCTTAGAAGCCACATAGGTAATTCCCTGCAATTGGCCAGTGGCTCCAACCAAGCTGGAGATGTTGATGACGTTGCCCCGGCTCTTCCGCAGGTGGGGGAGAGCGAGCTGGGGAGAGACAGGAAGCAGAGTAAGCAGCCAAGGCCCTGGACCTCCCCCAGCCCAAGGGAACACGCGCCAGAGTCTGGGACGATGGCCGCTGTCCCCGGTGGGCCTTGTAGGGACAGCATCCAGAGCGCCCTCGCGCTCGGCCCAGGGCCTGCGGGTCTCTGGGTCTCCGTGCTACTTCAGGAGTCTCTCCTTGTGTGGAAGGGATTTTCCTCCGAGTCTCTTCCCCAGTCTGTTTCTCCCCCGTCCTTTTTCTGCCCCCTGCCCCTCTTCTGGGTCTGCGTGTGTTATTCAAACTCCTGTCCACACGAAGAGAGAAAAGTACAACATGGCTGCTTTTTTCTTTTTTCCAAAAATAGGAGGAAGCTCTTTTACCCATGGAGGGGAAGACTGAGTTTCTCTGAGTTTCAGGGAGAGCTCCATGGTCAGAATGTGGGAAATGGCCTTCAGGAAATGAACCCCATAGTCTGCCAACTTCTCCCCTAAAACTCCCTGGCTACCTGGAGGTGCCTAAACTAACTCTCCCTTCCTCTCTGTCTCCCAGTTCTTTTCCTCTCCGTGACCTTAACGAGATTCAGACTGTGTGTCTTTCAGCCCTTGTTTGCTTTGGGCAGCTGAACTGGCCACCCAAGGCCTCTTCCTGCTACCAGAGACGGACACACACACACAGGCCAGCTCCCCCCCCCACACCGGGGTTCTCAGAGTGGGAACCGAAATTGGCTGCCTCCCCAGCTCCCCCCACCCCCAGCTCTTTCAAACTTTTACTCTCTCTGAACCAGCCTCTGCACCGTTCTCAATGCTGTCTTCAAACACCTTCCTGAGTGTTCCGACCTCAGGGCCTTTGCACATGCTGTGCCCTCTGCCCTCAGTGCTTGTCCTAACAGTCATGCAACTCATTCCTACGGTGACCGGCCACCTTGCCTTGGCCGGGGCTGAAAGGTTTCTGGGGACATGAGACACTCAGTCTACGGTTTCGGTGCTAAGCTGGGACAGTCCTGGGTGAACCTACTCCCTCAGCAGCTTCAAATCCGGTCCAGACGTCACCTTCCCTGACCATCTGCAAACCGCCCCTCCCCCCAGGTCCCCATCCCACTTCCTGATTCCTTTTGTCTGTGGCCCACAAGCCATCTGACATGCCGTTTATTTATTTTATTTTTATTACTTTTTAAAATCCATTAGAGAGACGGGAAAGGGAGGGAGAGAAACATTGACGAGCTGCTTTCCCTATGCGCCCCCAACTGGGGACCAAAACCCCCAACCCTGGCACATGCCCTGACTGGGAATCGAACCCGGGCACTTTTTGGTTCGCAAAACAACGCCCAAGCAACTGAACCACACCAGCCAGGGCACCACATATATTTTATTTGCTTCTTTGCTTATTTTCTGGCTGTCCTACCAGCATGCAAAAGCCCACAAGGGGACGGCTGAAGTTGTTATTTTCTTTGGCATAAAGTAGGTGCTCAGTATCTTTTGAACAAGTGAATGGATTTACTGAGGACCTGTTCCGGCCCGGCCTGTCGTCAGCAGCACAGAGGAGTTCATTTAGGAACAGAACCCGGTGACTGACAGGCACAGGGGTCACATGACACCTAACAGAACCAGTATTTGCAGCCCCCGCTGTCTGAGGCCAAAATAACCAAATAATTTCTTTCCGTTTTTATTCATTGGCTTCTAGAGAAAGGGGAAGGGAAGGAGAAAGACAGGGAAGAGAAATATCGATGTGGGGTTGCCTCTCATGCGCCCCCAACTGGGGACCTGGGCAGCAACCCAGGCTTTTGCCCTGGCTGGGAACTGAACCGGCGACCCTATTGATTCACAGGCCCAGGCCCAGTCCACTGAGCCACACCAGCCAGGGCCCAAATAATTTCCGACCACTCTAAGTGCTAGGAACTTTAGGAGAGTGCGGCCGGAGTTGGGGGCGGGGTGAAACTGTGATCCTCCAGCCTCCTCCTCAGGGACCTGCCCCATTCACCGCCCCCCACTTCCGCTCACTCTCAGCCTTAAAACCCTCCCTCCCTCCCTCGGGCCTGGGACTCGCTCTGCCAGCGCCCCTCCCCCTGGCCCTGTCCAGCTGCAGCCCTATCTCTCCCCTCGATCTTGATCGCCTCCACTGCCTAACTCCCTGGCCACCCCCACGCTGCGAAGGAAAGCGAGTGCAGAGTCTCGGTTCACTTGCCCCCCTCATCCCCCCCCCGTGGAGGTCACAGCTGCTGCTGAAAAAACATTTGGCCCACACTGCCCTTCCCAATCCTCCCACACATCCTTGGACACGTCCTCCCTGCCCACCCCCAAGGTCGCCTCGTAGCTACATCAAGGACTTGCTGTACCCTCGCTGGCCTGACGGGCCCTCCCTCCCTCAGACAGACAGCCAATCTGCTGAGCCCGGCTCCGGCCTGACTCCACACTGTTGGGGTTCCTGGGTCCTTCTCACTCTCCCAGCTCGGCCTAGGGAGCCCCTTGCTTTGTTGGTTTCCCACCAGCATCTGCGGAATCGCCCTCGGACCACGTGCTGCAGCCCCTACCCCGCCCCCTGGGTCTCCATCTCAAGGTCCCACTTGCAGAAATCACCCCATCGCCTCTTCCTAAAACCTGCCTCTCATCCTGGTCTCCTTGGACGTGGGGCCCCCTACCGTCCTGCTCAAGCCACAGCCTGGGAGACCCGGGAGTCTTCCAGAGCCTCCCTCGGCCTCAGTTCCTCATCAGATCCACCACTTTCTTGCCCAAACACCTGCCATGGCTCCCTATGACTCTGGAGATAAAGACCAGGCACCTGGCATGGCCCTCAAGGCTTTGCAACCGCTCCCTGCACCAGCCCCCTCTCACCGCCAGGCCTTTGCACAGGCCGTTCCTTCTGCCAGGAATATTCGCACCTCCCCGTTGCCACATCAAGGGCCCACTGTACCCTTATTGGTCTGACTCTTCCTCCCCGACCCATTATGCGCCGGATCCAGAGAGCCCCCTCTCCCACCCCGCTAGTTAATGCCACTCATCTTTTGCTTCCTCCGGGAAGCCCACCCGCCCTGACCCCCAAAACAAGCCAGTGTCCCTGTCACAGGTCTCTCAGAGCCAGACCTGTCTCCTCCCTACACAAAACACCCGCCCCCCCGCAATGCGCCTCTGCATTTATTTAATATCTGGTGTCCTGTGACCATGAACGCCACGAGGAAAAAGACCACATGTTGTAGCCCCAGCACCTAGTACACTGCCTGACACCTACTTAGGTTTATTTACTGATCAATAAATAGATGAATGGCCCTGGCTGGTGTGGCTCAGTGGTTTGAGTGAAAGCCTGCCAAGCAAAGGGTCGCCGGTTCAATTCTCAGTCAGGGCACATGCCTGGGTTGTGGGCTGGGTCCTCAGCAGGGGGCGTGTGAGAGGCGACCACACATTGATGTTTCTCTCCCTCTCTTTCTCCTTCCCTTCCCCTCTGTCTAAAAATAAATTAATTAAATCGTTTAAAAAGTAAACAAAACATTCTCATCCATTGGTAGTACCTATGAGGTTCTTTTTAAAAAATTTTTTTTGTTGATTATGCTGTTACAGTTGTTCTATTCCCCCTTCATTCCCCTCCACCCTACCCCCCGTCCCCACCATTACTCCCCCTTTAGTTTATGACCATGTGTCTCAAGTCCTTTACATTCTATATTTCCCATGCTATTCTTGCCCCCCGTCTATTTTCTATCTACTGTCTATGCTACTTATTTTCTGTACCTTCTCCCCCCTTCTCCTCCTCCCACTCCCCTTTTGCTAACCCTCCTTGAGATCTTCATTTCTAGGTTCTTAGTGATGAAATTACATGATGTGTGGGTAGGAGAATGTGTGAGGCAATGGGTAGAACAAGTTTATTCCCGCCCCCAAAAATGTATTTATTTATTTTTTAGACAGGGGGAAGGGAAGGAGAAAGAGAGGGAGAGAAACATCACTGTGTGGTTGCCTCTCATGCGCCCCCTACTGGGGACCTGGCCCACAACCCAGGCATGTGCCCTGATGGGGAATCAAACTGGCAACCCTTTGGTTCCTAGCCTGCCAAGTTCAACAAAGTGCTTATCATCACCAAGCTGGAAATGGAGGTGGTGGTTCTTTTCCTCTTACAATACCCCCAGTGGGTTCTGCCCCAGGGCCTTTGCACATTCTGTTCTTAGTGAGTGAAACACTCTGTACCCTATTTCTCCACTTCCTTCCCTCCCACTCAAGGTCCCACTCAGATCTCGCCTTTCCCCTTGTACTTCTCCCAGGCTCCGTTTGCCCAACTCATATTTCAGAGACCTCACGCTGACTGAAGTCGCCGAGTCACATGAAACAGAATGGGACAAGGTCCATGGTAAACAAAAACGGCTTGCAGACAGCAACCTCTGTGCCAGGTGTGTTCTAAGGGCTTGGTGGGTTTTTAATTAACTCCCATTCAATTCTCAGAACCACCTGGGAATTAGGTACCACGATGAGCCCTCTTTTCCAGGCAGTAAAACTGAGGCACAGAGAGGTTGAGTAACCTGCCCAAACTTGCCAGTCGGCAGTGCCAGAGAAATTAGGCCAGCCGGCCCTGGATCAACCCTTTACTCTCGCCCACTCGCAGATAGCAGAGTCAGGGAGCCAGTGGGGGGAGGCGGGGGACTCCGGTACAGAGAGAGCCAGGCCACATTTAGCCGACTGCCTCCCTGCCCCGTGGGTCCAATGTATCAACTTTTCAAGGGAAATGAAAATCCAGTTGCTATGTAAAATCGCTTTTAAATGCTGGAGATTGAAACACACACAAAGCTTTTTTACGGGCTGTGGCGTACAGAAGGTGAACAGAAATTGGGGACAAGAGCCAGGGTTCACCGGTTGAGCAGGGAATGACCCAACCGGGGACACTGTACCTGTATCTCAGATGAAACCTTGAAGATAGCACCGGGGCTTTCCCCACACGGGTGACCCCTGGCCCGCTGCCTGGGACCCCTCCCATCTTGCTGTCTACGCTTGCCTCTCTGAGCTCCTCCAGCAAGCTGGTGAGCTCCAAAATGACGTCTCCAGGCCTGGACCCTCACCCCAGACCCAAGAATTCCACTCAGCATGCCCTCCCACCCCACCTGCTCCACCCCAGGGGTCCCCATCCCACACTTGCTAAGCAAATAACAACAAAAATTTCCTTCTATCTGGAGTTCGCGCTCATATCTAGTCTATGAGGAAATCCTGACAATTCTACCTTCAGAATGGGCCCAGAATTGGCAACTTCTCACCAAACCCACAGCTACAAGGCTGGTCAGATCCAACATCACCTCCCATCTGGACCACCTACAAAGCCCCGCCTCCCCCATTCAGCCTTGGACCCATCTGTTCCTCACGCGGCCGCCAGAGGGCGCCAGTTTCTACTCACAGCAGTTCCTGTCCCCCAGCTCAGAACCGTGCATGGCTCCCTGCTCACTCCGAGAATTAAAAAAAAAAAAGCCCTGGCTGGTGTGGCTCAGTGGGTTGAACACCGCCCTGTCAACCAAAAGGTCACCAGTACGATTCCGGGTCAGGACACATGCCCGGGTTGCAGACCAGGTGCCCAGGCCAGAAGCAACCTCACATTGATATTTCTTTCCCTTTATTTCTCCTTCTCTTTCCCTTTCTCTAAAAACAAATAAATAAAATATTTAAAAAGAAGTGCTGTGATAAAAAGAAGCATGCTGTTTATCATAGAGAATGAGCATGTGTGGATAAGGGTCACATAAGCAAGGATGGTTGGGAAAGGTCTTTGGGCGGAAGTGGCGTGTGAAGACAGATGAGAAGCAGGGGGCATTATGGGAAGATTCAGAGGAAGGGTACAGAGATGGAGATGCTCTTTGCTCCTAATAGCTATTGGTGGGGCGGCAAAGCTCTGACTGCCTATTACTGCCTTGCCCACCACCCCAGGAAGGTCCTGAAAGGTTCCTAAGAAGGCAGAGCTATTCACCTACCCAAGCAACTTGGGTTGGATGTGGGAATTTGCGCCATTTCTTTTCTACAAAGAACAGAGCCCTTGGGGAATAAGACTAAAGCGAGGCACAGAAAACACTCTGCTCGTAGACAAAGTAGATCCGACGATCTCAATGTCAGGAGGCCACCTGGCCTAGGCAGCCAGGGCCCCAGCTTTTACCTTGGTCAGGGTGTATGGCCCCAGCAGGTTCACCTCCAGCAGCTCCCGGAATTCCTTTGCAGAGGTCTCCTCAGGCCATTGTACGGGCAGGTCTAAGGGCAGGGGTTGGAGAGAGAGAGGAGAGAATGAGGAAGCCACGTGGGCAGGAGAACCAGAGGGAAATGGGGGTGGCGGGGGTGGTGGAGGAGGGTGGGGGGCCCAGGCAGGGCTAGCAGACAGGGGGGTCGGGGATGGTGAAAAGAGAGGTTGCACAGCAATTAATAAAGAAAGCAGTGTTGGAGCCAGAAGGACTGGGTTCGAATCTCAGCCCTCCCATTTCCTGGCTGTGTGGTTTGGGGCAAGTCCCTTTGCCTCTCTGTGCCTCAGTCTTCTCATCTGCAGAGTGATAATAACCCCTCTCGAGCTTAGAAATGTCACAAGTCAATATTTGTGCCTGACACATAGGGCCATAATGTGTTCATTAAATATGGTTAACTCTTGAACAACACAGGTTTGAACTGCATGAGTTTACTTACACGCATATTTTTTTAAAAAATAGACACTCACCCCACTGTATCTGGGGTTCATACCTGTAGATTCAACCAACCACAGATAAAAAAAGAATAACATTTTTAGCCCTGGCTGGTGTGGCTCAGTGGATTGAGCGTCGGCCTGCGAGCCAAAGGGTGGAGGGTTGATTCCCAGTCAGGGCACCTGCCTGTGTTGTGGGGCCAGGTCTCCAGTAGGGGGCGCGTCAGAGGCAACCACACATCAATGTTTCTCTTCCTTTTTTCCTTTCTCTAAAAATAAAATATTTTCTAAAAATAACATTAACATTTTTTTTAATTTTTAAAGATTTTATTTATTTATCTTTAGAGGGGAAGGGAAGGAGAGAGGGAGAGAAACATCAATGTATGGTTGCCTTTCATGCGTCCCCTGCTGGGAACTGGCCTGCAGGGAACCTGCCTGCAACCCTGGCATGTGCCCTGACAGGGAATCGAACCTCGTCCCACTAGGGGGCGCGCAAGAGGCAATCACACATCAATGTTTCTCTCCCTCTCTTTCTCCCTCCCTTCCACTCTCTCTAAAAAAAAATCATTAAAATCCTCAAGAAATGAAATATAGAAACTGAGGTCTGGAGAGAGACTGAGGTTTGGAGAGGGGCGCTCACCCCGCTGGCGCAGGAGGGAGCCCAAATGGAAACACAGGTCTGGGGGTTCCACAGCTGTCCTGCCCTGTCCGAGAGGACGGAGAGGAGGATGGGAGAATCAGGGGCAGAGAAAAGGGGAAACTGAGGTTCAGGAGGAAGGGGTGGGAAGCCAGGAGGTCGGCTGACACCGGTGGAGAATGGCCCTCCAGCCTCACAACTCACGGATGCCGGCGTTGTTGACCACACAATCCAGGCGGTTGAAACGGCGGATGGTCTCTGAAACGAGCCTCTGAGAAGAAAGAGGTCTTGTGAGTGACGAGTGTTGGCAGCCGGGGTCCCCAAAAGCAAGGCAGGGAAAGGAACGCCAGAGCTGGAGCTGAGGGGACAGGAGCTAGAGGAAGTGAGGGACTCCCCCAAGTCACCAGGCATGGCCGGAGAAGAGGAGACAGAAAGCCAGGGCTGCCCAGAGCCCAGAGGTCGCATTTGCCATCACTACTCCAGAGACCCTGGACCCATGGGAGCAGATATGAATGAGATATTGACTAAAGGGAAGGGTCAGAAACCCTGGGGCAGGAGAGGCAAAACTCTTACGGGAAAAGACCTACTCGTTGTGAGGGACTCATGTGTTCCATTTATGTGACAGATGTGATAAGAATCTTGAAGACCGGGCGATAACAAAGGACCTACCCAGGAGACCCTGGACCCACCAGCAGAATCAGGGAGAGTCTTGCAGGCGGGGAAGGAGACTGAGCTGAAACCTTTGGGGCCTGAACAATTTAGCCAGGAGAAGAGGGAAAGGTAGAGGGAACGGTTTGTGCAAAAGCCTGGACAAAAGCGAAGCTTGGAGAGAAATGGGCCTTAGGGAGTGGGGACAGAAAATACGCTCACCTTCATATCTTCCTCCCTAGTCACGTCAGAGAGGATAAAGACAGTTCCTGGAAGCTCCTGCTCCAGGGCCTTGCCCCCCGCCTCTGCAGGCAAAAAAAGAGCTGGGGACCTGGACTCCTGGGGCTAGGGGAGGAGGGGCTGGGGACCTGGACTCCTGGGTCTGGGGGCCTGGACAAGGAGGGGCTGGGGGCCTGGACTCCTGGGTCTGGGGGAGGACGGGCTGGGGTTCAGGACTGAGAGACCCTCACTCACCCATTTTGTCACAGATAACCACTTTGGCCCCGCTTTCCACTGAGAACAAGAAAAGAACAGGTTACCCCAACAGAGACCTTGGTTAAGGCCTCTGCTGCCCTCTTGTGGTCATCTCGAGTGGGGCCTGTTACACAACTCGGCTCCCCTCGTGACCCCAGTCTCATGAGGACCTCCTAGAACAAAGGCCAGAGGCCTTGCCCACTCTGCTCCTTAGCTACTCCAAGTACCTGCTGGGGTTCCTAGGACCCCCATCGCTGGTTTCCGGAGTAAACCCTAAATCCACAAGAAATATGTTCCCAAACCATCCGTCGTCTTGCAGCTTTAACTGTGACCCAGAGAAAGGGAGTAAGGGAGTTTTCGACCTGCCAAACAGGCTTCAGGATACCAGTGCCACCGTTTCGTCAGCAAAGCGAATTGGGTTTTATAAGATCTTCCCACACTCGTTGGACCCCGGGTCGCTCCTCTCCCAGATTCCAGTACGCTACCAGCCAAGACCCTCACCGAAGGCTCGCACAATCTGGGCTCCGATGCCGCGCCCGCCCCCGGTCACGATGACCACCTTCTCGGCATAGCGCGATCCCGTGGCCATCCTGTCCGTCGGTCTCCCCCTCTGTGACTGACTCCCTCTGAGGCTCCTCCGAGCCTAAAAGTCGAGTGAGGCTCTGATCTGGAACCTGGGCACCCGGCCCCCTGGAGGTGGGGCGTTGCCAGAAACCCAGATACCTGGTAGTTGGGCCCCTGCCCCCTCCTCCGCGAAACTCAGTAATCCCGCCCAACCCCTTTGATCACACCTACGAGGTCCCTGCCCCTTCTTCCCTGATGACCCAGGATTCCAGACCCCAGCTCTGCCCCTTAGAGTCCCCAGTGACACAACCCCAAACAGAGAGAGAAAGCTAGTAACTAAAAGTTCGAATTTTTAATCCGAGTTTGGACAAGTGCTGGAAAAAACAAACTTTGGCCATAGAAACCCTTCCCCATACAGGCCACAGGAGAGGACCACATCTAGTCCTTAGACGCCGGGGCGGTGTCTCCAAGCCACGCCCTCGCGCCCCAATTGGCTGCCGCGTCCGAGCTCGTCAGAAGCTCGACTGCAGCAGAGTGACTCGTAAAGGCCAAGCCCCCTCCCCTGGGGTCTGCGCCAGCGGGGAGCCCCCGGCGTCCCACGCGGGCTCCCAGGAAGCTGGGCCCGGCCCGCGCCCACCACCTCCGCGGGAGGACGCGGTGGAGCGGGAATTGGCCTCCGGAGGCGATCTTGGGAACGAGGTCATCTGGGGCTTGGCGTTTGATGGAGGCGGCGGTACCGGTGGGACAGGTTCTCCTCCAGATTCTAAATTTCCACCTGGAGAGGACGAGAAGGGAAGGCGAAGGGCAAACTTTGGGATCTGGGATTCTGGATCCCCAGGCCTTTCCTCTGTCGGACCCACGACTCCAGTCCCCAGCACATCCTCCCTCAGACCCAGGAGTCCTGGACTCCAACCCCTTCCTGCCCGGGATCTGGAACTCTCAAACGCTCTCAAACGGTGCCCAGCTCTTTCCTCATCAAGACAAAAGATTCCCAGGGGCCTTCAGATCCCTCCCCAGCGGGCACCCGGCCTCTGCCTTCCTTGTCCAGAAAACCCAGGATCCCACCCTAGGTCCCCCAGCCCTGCTCACCTGTCATCATCCTGTGCCACTGCGACGCCTCAGCGGCCAGAGCTTGAGAGAGGCTGAGGACGCGCTCCCGATGACCTTCTGATGTCGGTGAATAAGGGGCGTTGTGCCTCGGACTAGACAAAAGATTTGGGGGAGAGGTACAATTACTCAGTACAGTGATAACCCCAGTCTCTGCATGTTCTAGAAGGTGTAGTCCCTAGCACGTGTCTCTAGGGGACTTTAAACCTGGCGAGACCCGCATACGCTCTGGGATTTGGAGTCCAGTCCTCAGTAAATTGCACCCCATTTCCTGATGGATGGGCAGAGTCGTCTGATATCTACCCAGGTTTGCAGTTTGAGGGACCGCTGTCCTCACTTGGGATCCAGGGCTTTCTCTTTTTTTCCCAAAGATTTTATTTATTTTTAGACAGAAGGGAAGGGAGGGAGGGATAAAGAGAGGGATAAAGGAGAGAAACATCTCTCCTGTGCCCCCTACTGGGGATCTGGCCTGAAACCCAGGCATGTGCCTGGGTTTCGAACCTTTGGTTTCTCAGCCGGTGCTCAATCCACTGAGCTCCACCAGCCAGGGCCTCAGGACACACTGATAACAAGGCCGCCCCACAACCCCAACTCTGGGAAATTGATTTCCAGCTCCTGGCAGGTTCCTTACCTGCTCCAGGAGCCAGAGCTTCTAAGCCATTTCTGGGTTCCTGAGTGTCCTAGGACAGGCTGAAAAAGAAACAGGACATTAGTATCCCTCACCTAGAAGCCCCCCATTCTCACTGTGAGGGCAAAATAAAGGAGGCTCAAGAGAGGGGATGAAATCCGCCCCCCCCCCCACCCCGACCCTATTGAACTCTGCATGCAAAGAACCCTGCTCCACAGGACTCATTAGATCAGACTCACAGGGAGCTCCCCCACCTTGTTTACCCGTGACCAAGCCAGAAACAGGCCCTACAAACCCACTCTTTACCCCATAAACGATGAGCTGAATTGTTCGTACCCCCACGACTGGCTGGACAGAGAGAAACGTTTGGTGTTCGGTGGACTGGCATGGCCCCTGATTACAAAAACAATCCTACCCCTAAAACCACCCCACCGATGGCGTGTCTAATTCCTCCCTACGAGAGTAAGATGGAACCATCCTGGGCAGACGCACTGGGCTCCTTGGATATGGGGCGCCTCCTCACTGCAATGCATAAAATCCATCTCCTGGCCCCGGCTGGTGTGGCTCAGTGGATTGAGCACCGGCCTGGGAACCAAAGGGTCACCGTTTTGATTCCCAGTCAGGGCACGTGCCTGGGTTGCAAGCCAGGTCCCCAGTAGGGGGCGTGCGAGAGGCAACCACACACTGATGTTTCTCTCCCTCTTTCCCTCTCTTCCTAAAAAATAAATAAATAAAATCTTTAAAAAAATCAATCTCCTGACCTGCTTTTCTCTCCCCTGCCCAACCCCCTGCCCTTGGACAACACAGAGTAACTGAAAAGAAAAATTGGGCTTTTATCCAGACCTGGGACCCCTGGTGAGGTGGGGATGTTGTACCCGGCCCCACCCCCTGCCAGGTCCCCTCTGAAAAGGGGGACCGGGATGCTGACTACTTCAGCACAGGGGCAGATTAGGGTGAATTTGGAAACCCAGTTCTGGGTGAGAAGGCAGGGAACATCCCCATTTTACAGAGAGGGAAACTGAGGCTCAAACGAGGGGCAGAGGACCCACTAGCACCCACTGTCTCCACTCTGCTCCCTCACCCTTTGTTCCAGGTCGGGCTGGTGTCTGGCTGGGGACTGTGTCCTCCCCAGAGTGAGGAGCCGCGGCGAAGCCGGGCGAGGGAGCGGCCGTCCGCACTCCTGGTGTCTCCGAATCCTTTCCAGCTGCTCCTGAGTACTCATCCGGGGCCGGGCCAGGGGGACCTGGGGAGACGAGAAACCGCTCAAGACCCCAACCTTGGCCTCTGGTTTATCTCCTCCCTGAACCTCCCAGCCTCCAGGCTTGCCTTTCCAGTAAGTTCACTACCAGATCTCAAAGGGCTCTTTCTACACCCAGAGCTGATGCTGTCTGTCCACTGCTCACGCCCTCCCCGGGTTCCCAAGCACCCTGGGGACCAAGGTCTTTGAGAACCTGTGAGGACTGATTCCTACCCACCTCTCTGGCCTCAACTCTATCAGCTGCCCTATTTGAACGGGAAAACCCCCACACTTCCCTGGACCTGTCAAGCTTCTTCACACTAGTAAACAGGGCTCTGGGATGCTTGTGATCAAAAACAAAAACAAAAACCCAGCCCTGGTTGGTGTGGCTCAGGGGATTCAGTGCCGGCCTGTGAACCAAAGGGTCGCTGGTTCGATTCCCAGGCAGGGCACATGCCTGGGTTTCAGGCCAGGTTCCCAGGAGGGGGCACATAAGAGGCAACCACACATAATGTTTCTCTCCCATTCTTTCTCCCTTTCTAAAAATAAATGAATACTTTTTTTTTTTTTTTAAAGCAGAGGGTAGAGAACTCCTCATTGCAGCCTCTAACTAGAAACTTCTAAGGAAACAGCTTGGATTTATCTGTTTCTTCTCGTAGGGCCAGTCATTGCAGTTTATCCTGCTTTACTGTGATTTGGCGAATCTTCAGTCACAAGTCCACCTGTTATACAAGGGGGGGAATCCCCCCCAAAAGGGAACTATCTTCTGGAGGGCAGGTCCCTTGTAATATAGGGTTCCCCTACTAGGTGAGTTTTGTAGGAACCCATCTGTATCAGTGTGCCAGCTGGCGTTGTTGTGAGAGGCTGCAGCTTCGGTAATTTGTTTTTGTTGGAAGAGTCTTTCAATGAGTTTGCCCATTTCATGATGGGTGACTACTTCCAAGCTCACCTACCCACTAGGCTCTGAGCATTGGCGTGACCCCTGTGCTCCATTCTTTCTATTCTCCCAATCTTGTCCCGAGCAACTCCTTTTGTTTCCCCGGCTGAAAAAAGTCCTCAAAGGGAAACAGTTTGCCCATGTGGAAGAGAGGAAAAAAATGGCAGAAGCACTAAAAGGCACCCAAATCGACGAGTTCAAAAACTGTTTTGAGCAGTGGAAAAACGTCTTGATAGGTGTACTGCATCAGATGGAGAGTCCTTTGAAGTTTAAACTTATAAGAATAAATACACAAAAGCCCTGGCTGGTGTAGCTCAGTGGATTGAGCACGGGCCTGCGAACCAAAAGATGGCGGCTTGATTCCCAGTCAGGGCACATGCCTGGGTTGCAGGCCAGTTCCCAGCAGGGGATGCACCAGGAGCAACCATACATTGATATTTCTCTCCTTCCCTTCCCTTCCCAAGATAAATAAACAAAAAAAAAATTTAAAAAGAATAAAAACACGATTTTTTAATAAATGAATTCCAGGGTTGGGGGGGTGTCTCCACTCGTCTACACAATGGTGTACACAGGCCCCTGTATATTGGCCCCATGTCGTTTATTTCTTCACAGCGGGTAAGACCATTGGCCCCAAACCCTGCCAGGGCTAAAGTCACTTTCACACATTCATTTGTTTCAAACACAGCAGCCCAAATAGGAAGATAATTTTAGCCATTTAGAGTCCGCCTGCTTTGAATACTCCACGAAGCTGGACCCCCATCCGCTAGCCATAGGTATCGTGAACCTGTAGCCAAAAGACCCCAAGCAGCTGCAGTTCATTCCTTAGGAGTCGGTGCCAGAGACTCCCCGCTCTACTGAGAGCCATCACCGTAAAGAGACGGGGCGACCGTAAGCCCCTTTCCCGGGTCCCTCTCCCCGACCCGCTGGAAAACAAAGCTTCGGTACTACTGCCACCTGGCGGTCACATTATTTTTCCCTTGATCAGGTCTGAAATGCCTACACCCCGCTCTTTGCAACCCGGGCGCTGCGTGGTTGGGGTGGGGAAGAGCAATTCCCGAGTCAGCCCCAACAGTCTACGTTCATTGTACACACCACCAAGGATACAGAAGCCCCCCCCCCTTTCCTAGGAAACAGCTGACTGATTGTTTTGCAACCATGATAATAAGCGCCATAAATTCCCTGCAATGTTTGATTGGCGCTTTGCTGAAAGCCAGCCAGCCAATGAGTGATGGCCCCGTTT